GGGGAGCAGGGGGCGCAGGGGACAGCAGCAGGGGGGGAGGAGGGATGAATGAATGAACAAATGTGTGTATGTGTGTGTATGTGTGTGTATGTGTGTATGTGTGTATGTGTGTATGTGTGTATGTGTGTATGTGTGTATGTGTGTATGTGTGTATGTGTGTATGTGTGTATGTGTGTATGTGTGTATGTGTGTATGTGTGTATGTGTGTATGTGTGTATGTGTGTATGTGTGTATGTGTGTATGTGTGTATGTGTGTATGTGTGTATGTGTGTATGTGTGTATGTGTGTTTCAATCACGCATTATGACGTGTTTCCCCCCCCCTCTCCCCGGGCTCCCTGGACCGCCGTCTTACTCACGCCCACACCACACACGCCCTCACCGTCAGCTTGCATGTGAACCCCCGCGGGTCGCTGGCGGAGCTCTTGAGCAGCACATTGGCGGGTTTCACATCACAATGGACCAGCTGCCGGGCGTGCATGTGGCGTAACGCCAACGCCACTTCCAACAGGGTGAGGTAAATGGCGCGCATGGCGCTGCCGCCAGCGACGTTGCCGCCGCCGGCGGTACGGCTGCTGCCGCCGCTGGCCATGGCCTTGCCGTACTGCGGCGACACAGTCAACGATGATGACGACGGCATCATCATTGCTGTGCTTCCACTGACGTTGCCGTACTCGCCCCTGCTGCCGCCGCCGCCGCCGCCATGAGTAGCAGCGGAGCCGAGGAGGGAGGCGGCGGTGGCGGAGCGGCGCACCCCGGGCCGCCAGCGCGCCGACTCCGCGTTGCGAATGGCGGTCGCAAACAGGCCGCTGTCCTGCAGTGTACGACACGTTGTACGACATCATGTGCAGGGTGCGGACGTTAGACGAGTGTGCGCACGACGTGCGTGTGCGCGCCTACGGCTTAGGAGGCTCTGAGGGGACAATGTGCAGTGTCCGAACGCACATACATACACACACGCACACGCACACACATCGTAATTCCCTAGCTTGCATTACCCCCTGCTGCCGGGGCCTGACCTCCCTTGAACCCCCACCCCCACCCCCAAAAACCCCCACCCTCACCCCCACCCCCACCCCCACCCCCACCCCGCACACTCACCAATGCATCCGCCAACGATCCCAGGTCGCAGCACTGCAGCGCCACAAAGTCGACGGGGACGGGGGGGGGATGGAAGAAGGTTCAGTCAGGATGCGGATTGATGTTTTGTAGGCTTGTATAGGTGTAGTTGAGGCTTGGAAAGGGGAGCAGCGAGCTGGAGGTTTTGAACACAGCTCTATGACCAGTCGTCTGGCTGTGGCCCCTCCCAGGTATTGGTTTGTTGGATGATTTCTGCTAGACGCCACCCGCCGTGATGACGGCACCTCCTGCACCTCCCCCCCTCAGCTCCCCCCCCCCCGGGGGTGGGGATAGGGGGGACGTTCCAAGTTCATCATCACGCCCCTGTCAATACACACGGCTAACACACAACACAAATTAAAGCCCTGCTCTGGCCCGTTCTTGCAAGTTACAGCACATACACACATACATACATACATACACATACACACACGGCCCCACTGCGGCTTACCGTGTTACATACCCCTCAACCCCACCCCCACCCATCCCCCCACCCACCCCCCGCCTCCCACCCCATGCCCAGCCGGCCATCCAGCTTCACGCACCGCACCTCCATAATCAGCACCGTTTGGAGGGGGCCTGGACGAGCAATACCCGCACACGGCCGCCAACAGCACACGAGGTCCAGGGGGGTGGGGAGGGGTGGGGAGGGGGGTTTGAGAGAGCTCAGGGCTCACGACGCTTCGTGTCGCTTTGCTGAAGGGATGTTAGAAAATCCCACATGATAATATGATGACGCGTGTGCGGGCGGTACACCTTGAGTTGTGTTGCTCTTCAATGACATACATACATACATACATATGTGCGTCAAACCTTATAATACCTATACACATGACGCAACTCGTAACGGGTGGTGGGCAAAGCGGCTATCGTTGACCCCTATCTTCAAACCCGGTCAAATACACAACAAATACAGATACACTACAAACATACATTCATACATACATACACTGCATCCATGCACCATACACTTGTCTAATCCCCTGTTGCATTTATTCATGGGAGATGGAGGCGATGCTCCCTTGCTTTAAACCACATAGGCATGAGCATTTAACGTACACGTACACGTGCACACATACATACATACATACACAAGCGCGCACCCGACGTGCCACCCGACGGCGCCGTCTCGGGTACGGGGATGAGAAGAGGCAGCGCGCCGCTGACTGCCGCCGCCGCGGTTGTACGGCCGCCGCCAACGCTGCCGCCTTGCGTCGTCTCGTCCACGTCGTACTTGACGAGAACACGCGTATGGTAGCTATAGATCTGTTGTCTCATTGCGCAAACACGCACACATACACACATACATACACATACACAGACGCATACACACGCGGCCACCGAGTCATGGAGTGCTCCACGACACGGTACGGCAATGTACGGCAAGGTTAAAGACAAGTCAAGACAAGAGAAAGGTGTTGTTGAGTGCTCGTACAACCTTTCTGCTCGTACACCACCAGGAACAAAACGTTCACCATAATTCCCATCGTTGCCGTCATGTTGTCATTTCCGTACGGTACCACCTCCCGCATTCTTCCTATGCGATTTGACAGAAGCAATGTTTTCCGTACAAAACACAGACTCACCTACCCACGACACCCTCCCAAACCCCAACCTACCCCCCAACATCAATATAGCACCTGGCTTGTCCGCACAACGCATATACACGTACATACACACGTATACACGTGTAGACATACAGATATGCATACAGATGAGATACACCCGCACCTGCACGATATTGGGGTGGCTGATGCTGGTCATCACGGCGAGCTCGCGGGCGCCTCGCATGATGGCACGCAGCTTGGCCTGCCGTACAGCGGGACGAGCGGCCGGCTCCCCCTGCGGCCCCGCCTGGTCCTCCTCCTCCTCCTCTACCGCCGCCGCGTCGTCGCCGCCCTCTCCGTCCGCCTCCACGCCCTCGTCCGGCGCCCGCATCACCTTCACTGCCACCTGCGGCCACCCCAGGAGTTCGGGTCGGCTCACCCGACCAGTTCCCCGCCAATATCATGCAGCTCAGCCAGCAGTCCTCTCCCTTCACCTCCCCCTTCACCTTTACCCAGTACACCCATTCTCTGCTTGCCTCCCTACCCCCCTCTCTCCTCCTCCCCCCTCTCTCCTCCTCCACCTCCCTCCTCACCCCCCGCCACCCGCCCTCGTCTTTCCCCCCTTCCCTCCCTCCCGCCCTCCTCTTCAACCCCCCACTCCACCCGCGCCCCCCCTTCCCTCCCTCCCGCCCTCCTCTTCAACCCCCCACTCCACCCGCGGCCCCCCTTCCCTCCCTCCCCCGCTAACCTCTCAGCCGTGCAGCAGTCCCGCATACACAGTGGAGCAGCCACCTCCCCCAAGAACCTTCAGCAGCCGCAGGAACCGCAAGTCCTCATCGGCATGGGGACTGCAGGAGAGGGTCGGGCGGGGGAAGGGGGGTGTTGAGGGATGACGGGGCGAGGGGGTGAGGGAGCAAAGGTAATGTACGGTAAACCACACCATCGCCATACACCCACAGTATGACATAGTACGATTGTGCTCAGCTTGAACGGACAAAACACACAACGCATGTGCACACGCACGCGTCGCGTTGTCTGTCTTACGCATGCGCGCGTGAACTTACACACGAGAGTACACACATACACACAAACACACCTACACACACATCGGGTCTTCAACAGGCATAATTCACACAACCCTAACGACCACAACCCTAACGACCACAACCCTAACGACCACACAATCTATTGGAACGTGCGAAACACAGGGTGTTACAGAGTGGATGGAGCTTTCGGTCAGTGCATACATTAAAATTCCGGCCTAGGAAGGTCTAGATAGCCACCTGGGCCCCGCATGCGCGCGCACACAGAGACACGCACCATCGCCCCCACCACTTCCTTTCCGTGTCTTGGTACACACCCACACACCCACACACCTACACACACACCCACACACCTACACACACACCCACACACCCATACCCGCACACACACCCACACACCCATACCCGCACACACACCCACACACCCACACACACACACACACCTACACACACACCTACACACACGCACACCCGCATCCACACGCACCCCCACACACACACCCAAGTCCCACCCACCTGGGCGCCGCATCCGTGTTTTGCGCCCGCAGCGTGTTCCAAAAGGAGCTCACCAAGATGTCCATGTTGGACCGCATAACGGTCAGCGTGTCAGAGACGTCCAACGGCATGGTGGCAATCTGGACGGGCAGGCGGAGAGGGGGGAGGGAAGGGGGGAGGGAAGGGGAAGACGGACCATGAGCGAGTGAAGGTGATGGCAAGAAAATACTGATACCGGGGATAGGCGGATGGATGCACTCGGCATGATTAGACGGATACTGCATACATTTGTGTTAGGAGGGTGTAGGAATAGTTGTTACCAACCAGACCAGTAGCGACCGGGGAAGAAGTAGTCAGGCATGGCGGCGATGTGGCCAGCTGGCCAGATAGATAGATAGATAGATAGATAGATAGATAGATAGATAGATAGATAGATAGATAGATAGATAGATAGATAGATAGATAGATAGATAGATAGATAGATAGATAGATAGATAGATAGATAGATAGATAGATAGATTGGTGGCGAATGAGTGTTAGCTCTATTAGCTGTAGCTATCCGGCTGCCGAGTCCAAAGGATGAAAAACATAATGTCTACCTTAACCGTAGAGACCAAGAGATAAGTCGTAATGAAAGTGAGGCGGGCAGAAATATGAAAAAGATATGGCCCCCCCCTTTGTCCCACACATCATACTAACAAATAAATACTCTTTTTATATGATGGTGAGGCATTCCGAATACGGGACAGGAGAATGGGAAGTGGAATGGAAATCACACACGCACATCATCAGAAAGATTATTAACACACATATCCGGAGGCTCACGCGCGCGCGTGTGTCGAAAATGCACAACGACACCGACGGATATCTACACACACCAAGCTGAAGTCGTACCCACGCAACCCAAGCTGTTGCCGTACATAATACCCGGAAAGAAGCATCCAGATATCTTCACACTCCCTGATCGAGTATCACCCCCCTCACCAGGTCGGAAACCTGGCGTCTCAGCGGCGGATGCACCCGGCCTTGATGAGGCTGGTTACGTACGGCACAGATGTTGGCGGGCGACGTGCGCTGTTGCATCATAGCATGCAGCTGCTGCTGGTGCTGCAGGGATTGCTGCTGCTGCTGCAACAACAACATCGTCCGCCGTTGCAGGCTAGGACCTAGCTGCTGCTGCTGCTGCTGCTGCTGCTGTAGCAGCGACGGCGGCGGCGTCGGCAGCATTGATGAATCCTCGCAGGCCGACGTCGTAATGGCAGCGGCGCCGCCGCCACCGCCGCCGCCGCCGCCGCCACCGCCAGCCTTGCCGGTGACGCTACCGCTACCCATCAGCGCCGAAACCAAGCTGTTGTAACTGTTCATGAGTATGCTTGCCGCTGCCGTACCGGCCGGCGTGGTGGCGGCGGTCGCCGTCATTTGATGCTGGCCGGCGGTCGTGGCGGTGGCAGTGGTAAATGTCGTCGTGACGGTGGCGTTAGATAAGCGGCTCCGCGGTACCCGGGGGGCGGCGTCGGAGGTGCCGCGCGTCCCTTGCACAGCCGCGGCGGTGAAATTGGTCCATCCGGTGCCCAAGATAGCTGTGTTTCCGATATTGCCCACATTTTCCTGAGTGGCTGTGGAACCCCCGGCATGGGGGGCAGGGTAGGGGCGAAAAGGAAAAAAATATAAACTTGTTGGTGGACTTCGCAGAGGGATTTCGCACATGATACATGCACACAAACCAGGATCTGAACTTCACCTCGTCCCCACTGTGCTTGTATAGAACAGCACCCCATCCCACATACATACATGCGGGCAGGCGCACGAGGCAGGCGCCTGGCAGAGGTTAAGGCCTGACTTCTGCCCCCGGAGTGTCCGGGTTCAAACCCGCCTGCCGACCCCTCGGGTGTGTGAGGGGTGTTGAATTGGGAGGTGGCCCCACATATTGAGGACGGTGCAGGACGTGATATTATCAACTTGCGAGCTGACCAGGAACTAAGTTGAGGCGCCGTTGATCCGCTAGATTTGGTTGGATGCTGGTGGTGAGTTGCTGAACCCAACGAATACATTCTGAAGTCGGATGGGGTAAACGGATTAGGGTGCCCCTCTCGCAGGGGAGAGCAGGGAACTGCCTCCAAGGGAAAGGGGGCCGCTGGTGAAGCTATACCACCCTGTAACAACATACATACATACATAGAAACATGCAGGCAGAGATGTGCTGTTCAGTACGAGAAGTAATACATACTGACAAACACATCCTGCCGCGGCAACCCAACTGGACAAACTGATGTTGTTGGTCCCACGGGTCACAAGCAGCTGCGCCAGCGCCGCGCCGTCCGCCTCCGTCGCCTCCAGGGGATTCCCCGCCGTCGACCCTGCCGCCGTCGCCGCAGCAGCAGCAGCAACAGCCACAGCCACAGTGTCGCGAGCGCCGTACACACGTAGGGACAGCGACGCCGACGTCGCAGGATGTGGGACCCCGGAGCCACCCATGCTCGTCTTGCCGGACTTGGCGACGGAGGTGTTGGCGGCGGCGATGGCATCCACGGTGTCCACCTCCGTCAAGGCGGCGGCCGCGGGGGCGCCTATGCCGTTCAGCGGCGGCGGCGTCAGCAGCTGCTGCTGCTCCTGCTGCATGGATGGGTGGTGTGGACTGCCGTCATCGGCGATACCGTGCGGCGCCCGGGGGCTTTGGTGGCAACGGCCGACGGGTATCGATGCAGCGCGTCCCAACGCGCCGCCGCCACTGCCGCCAGCGGCGGCGGTGGAGCCAGATACGGCATCGGTAAGGTACTGCAGCTCCGCTGACGCAGCGTCTGAGAGGCAGGCACCGATGGCTGGCAGCAGCAGCTGCAAGGCAGACGGGCAGGATGTACGGACGGGGATGTACGGACAAACTAAAGGCAGCGAGTAAGCATCTGACGTGTATTGTGGGGGTATTTTACGGATACCTAATCCCCGAGATAAAGATAGGCCTAAGTTGCAGTAGGCCTAAGTAAGATAGGCCTAAGTTGCAGTAAGACATTCTGATGAAAAGAAAGTAAAGATGCAAACCAAGTACATGGCAACAATGACTATATATAATACTTATACATATATCTTCGCTAGTCTTTTCATTTCAAAAAAACAATATATTCACCCTGATATTTATCCCCCTTGCCAGTTCCGCGGCGTAGCTCATTAAGACACACCCAACCTCTCCAACCATACTCACCTCCAAAAGCACCAGAGCACGGCTCCTGGCGGCACACAGCAGGGAGGCGGGCAGCCGCTCGCTTGACGCTAGGTACAGAGCCAAACACACGTCGAAGCTGCCGCTGCCGCTGCCAACGCCGCCGCCAACGCTGCCTGCCGCACGGAGGACCAACGGCGTCGGCCACGGCGATGGTGGCAACGGTGACGTCATGCCGGTGCCGGTGCCGCGTCCCGGCGTACGCGGCTGTGCCGCCGCTACCCCGGCGGCGGCGTTGTCATGTCCTGCCTCCGTCACCGGCGCGGCGGCGGCGGCGCCGCCGACTCGGTTCAAGTCCGCCGCCAGCAGTGCCACAGAACCCATCACCAAAACTAAGGACGCCGGGCCGCCAACGCCGCCAGCGCCGCCGCTGGCGACTCCCACGGCGCTCCCCGGTAATACGGCATAACCTCCGCCGGCGGCAGCGACGCCACGGCCGACGCCGCCGGCGCCGCCGGTGCTCGCGGCGGCGCCCGCACCCGTCGCCGCCGTGCGGAGGAGCAGCACAATATCGCCCGAGGGCTGGTCCGTATCGTTGACATACGCATGCACGTGGGGTACGACAGTGCCACCTAATCGACATATCCGAAATCCCTTTCCCACCCCACCGCCGCCGCCGCCGCCGCCAGCAATGCCGAATGCGCCGCTCACAAGCGACGATCCCACCGCCATGTAGCTTGATTGGCCTCCGGCGTGGGCGCCGCCGCCGGCGGCGGCCGCGGCAGCGCGCGGCTGCGGCGACGGCATCCCTGACGACACCCCGCCGTCGTCCAAAGCACAGTGCGACAGGGCACTCATCGTGGTCGCGAACACTGAGCTGAAGCCCGCACCAGCACCAGCACCAGCACCCGCACCAGCAGCCGCGGCCGTAGCAGGTGAGGGGCAGAGGCCGGTGTTCGTGGACTTGGCCGCTCTGGATGCGAGCGCGGCTAGCAGCGTCGACTCCAGGGAGAACGGCCGGGCCTAACGCAAGTGGGGCGGGGTTTTGGGGGAGAAAGACGAACCACGAAGAATGAAGCTGCTGCCAAGGAAAGGTAACCCGCGACCGCCGGCCCCCGCAGCCCCCAAAACTCCGGCCCCAATGCCGGCCCCCTCCCCCCTTTTTTTGTGGACGTCAGCAGTATTGATATGTTTTTGCTTCGTGCCGCAGCATATTCCCTCCGCCTCACCTTCCACATCCGCACTGGCTGCTCCGGGGGAACACCCGATCTGCGGCCCCAACACCCCACCGGCAGCTGGAAAGAGTGCAGGCCGCTGGTCAGCGTGCCGCCGCCGCCGCCGCCGCCACCACCACCAGCGAAGGGGACGGATACGGTCAGCGGCGGCGTCAGCGGCGGCGTCAGCTGTGCCTGGGCGCCGGAGGCCAATGTCGTACTGAGCAGGGGGTCCAGGGAGGGCACGCTGCAGGAGGGAATGCCGCCAGAAAGCTTGGCGGCCATCAATCTGACACCGGGGATGGGGGGGGAGATTAGGGGGGGCGGTAGGGTTTCCCTAGGGGTTTTAGAAGAAACACAAGAAGAACCACCATGAGGTTCATCAAGAGGCTGTCAGCCGGGGGGCGGGGGGCAGGACAGCGCGGAGCAAAGCTAGGGTTTTGAGGTTTGAGCTTGTTTTGAGGTAGGGCGCCAGTCGCCCAGTTCCGAGTCGGAAACAACCCCAGTATCATCCCACATACATACAAGCATACATACGTACATACAGATATACATACAAACACGTATTCCTCCTTCCCTCTCGTGCCTTTGGCTACAGCCACATCTACAGCAGCAGCTACGACCGTAGCTACAGCCCAACCGCTCCAACTGTGCTACACTGCGCCATTTCACCTCACTCTAGCCGTAGCTACATCCCCCCCCGCCCCTCGCCTCCTGCAGGATTTGGTTTTGCTGGTATTTGGTTCAATCGTCAGTGGTTCGCCTTTCTCCCCTCCCCCCCTTCAACCCAGCTACAGCCCTACAGCTGCAATATATACCCACCGTTCTGCAAACGATTGGTGAGTCAAGGACCTCGTCGCCGCCCGCGATGCAGGCCCATGGGTCATCGGCAGCCGCGACAGCAGCTCCGAACCCACACCCGGGGCCCCGGTGCTGAGAGCCGTGCTCAGCTGGCTTCCGCCGCCGACGTACGTGCTGCCGCCGGCGTGCTGCGGCTGCGCCAGCGCCGTCGTCGTCGGAAACTGCTGTTGCTCCGTTAGCAAAAAGCCGTACTGCGGACTGCCCCGCGCGCCGGGAGTGTACGGCACCAGGGCTAGCCGTACGGTAAAGTCCACGTGAAGCTCCGACGCCAGGGCCTCCGTCATCGCGGTGGAGAGGCAGCTGGCAAGGCATTGCAGGTCGGCAGCTGATGCCAGCTCGCATGCAGCTAGGGTTACCTGCCGTGTATGGTAAGAATCGAATGGTCGGCAATGTTAACCTTATTGGTTATTGGACCATTAATTTTCTCTCCAGGGGTTCGCCCCTTCACGGTGGCATCCGCTACACAGCAGCCCCAGCCCCAGCCCACTCACCCTGTGAACATCTGCCAGGTTTGGACCCAGACAGCATTCCGCCACAGCTGCCGCGATACCCGTCAGAAAGTCCCGGCTGAGAGGGTACGGCAGGGACGAGCTCGCCTGTGCAGCCTCCGCCGGGGCCGCCGCCGTCACCGTCTCCACTCGACACGCAGCTCCCGCAGCCGGCAACGGCGATGGCGGCGACGGGGGCCTTGGCAGTGGTGGCGGCGGCGGCGCCGCTGCCACCACCAGCAGTAGCGCCCCGATAATATCCGTACCCAGCCGCAGCGGCACCAAGCATGCGCGTAATGGCAGTGACGGCGCCGCCATCATCGTCTTCCCTACCACGGGTACGACGGCTGTTCCTCCGCCGCCGCCGGCAGCCAAGTCCGCCGCCATGGCGTTCAAAACCCGCCGCCACTCGTCCGGCAGAGACTGTGACACGGACTCCGCCGTTGGCTGGCGGCTGGTACGGCTCTTATGTACAGAATGCACCTCCACCACTGTCGCCGCCGCCGGCTGTAGACGTGCCCGGACATCCGCCAAGTCCTCCTGTCGGGGTCCGCAATTCAACCACCCAATGCCGTCACGTCACCTCACGAGCGCCGTACGGGAGCTGAGCACATCACATTCTTTTCGAGTCCATTGTAACAACAGAACGCATTCAAGCAACAACATTTAACACTTCATCCTTTCATGCATTCCTTCATCACTTAGTCCACGCGTCAGCTCTCCAAGCGGCAGCATGGAATCACAGATAATAATACCGAATAATCACGTGATAATTTTGAATCTCGGAGGGGCCGGCGGCGCAATAAGTCCTATCCTGAACGTTTTCCGGTCGGCGATAGCGGCCATGGAGGGCAGCGCCGCCGACGACGACGATTTCGACGGTCAGGATATGTATCGACTCATGGCTAACCCCAACATCTTTTAAAACCATCAAATCTTGGCACATCATCAGGTCCACACGGCTTGGCAAGTCACGCAGGTCTGCAAGTCTGTTCGTAGAGCTCATGTGCCGACGTTTTTCCGTCGCCGCCACCGCCGCCAGCCAACCAGCCGCTCGAACGGACGGCAGCCCGCCAGCCGCCAACCACTTCACCGACCTACCGAATCCCCCCCGATATATGAAACCCACCGCCACACCGCCCAAACTGCACCGCCACCCCTGCCCCACATCCCCGTGGATACCGCACACGCTCAGATACGCCGGTCCTGCCTCGGCACACGCCAGCCTAGCCGATAAGCCATCCCACGCCGTTTCCGCGCCTCACAAACACATACATACATACATACATACATACATACATACATACATACATACATACATACACACGCACGCACCTGCCACATCAGGACTTCCGGTTCGACCTGTCGTAGCCCCTGCGTCCCTCCGCCGGTGCCCACTGGCTGCCCCAAGATCACCAGGCCGCCGCTGGTACTGCTGACAGCTCCCACAGCCGTCGCAGCGGCGGAGGCTGTGCAGGCACCTCCGCCGCCACAAAGCCATGACGCCGGTGTTGGCAACACGTGCCCCGGTGCCAGAGGGACCAGGGAGGGTCCGGCGTTGCACAAGAGGACGAGCACGGAGCCGCATGGCGAGGCGCCGAAGAGGCTGCGGTGTTCAGGGTGCGGGCCAGGATTTGGGTTAGAGGGGTGGCATTTGGGTTTTGAGGATGGTTTCGGGTAGTGTGCGAGGCGGGTTTGGGAGTCGGGGGTAAGATTTGTCCGCCAAACCGTACGCCCCGTTATGATCCCCCAAAGCGGGGTAAGCCTTCTGGTACGTAGATACGCACGTAAGTATGTAAATGTATTGGTGTGTTAACATCATCTGAGCAGACTCGAAGGAGACATCACCGAAGGACTTTAAGATACTGGGGGAAAGGGTCGCGAGAGGTGGCGTGAGAGAGGCGGCCGTATACATGTGGCGAGTGAAGAACGGAAGGGATAGCCATGAGCTCCTGGATATTCCGGATAGCGATGCTTGGCAAGCTTCAGGGGCTTCACGAACCTTACCTGACTTGCGTGACGGGACTGCTGACCGATAGGACGCTTTCAACGCAAGACTGAACGCGAGTTAGCCAGGAGCCTTGGACTGTTGCCAGCTGGCATCGCAACACCGAAAGCTGCAAGGAGGAGCCAAGTCAGGTTGAGCTTGCTGATAAATAAATAAAATGGGGTGCGTCTTTAGGTGGGCCTCCATGGATAACATTGGGCCGCAGAAACTGAAGAAACCCAGGCGTACGAGGTGATATTGCGAAAACGGACCTTAGATTGTAAACCATGTCCCCCATTATAATTACAGCGTCATCGCAACCGACAGCCGACGAATACCTCGTCTGGACACAGTTTCGTCGAAATCATGGTACAGAGCGACCAGCGGCAAAGCACCAAGGCGCTCACCGTTTCATGCAAGGTCGGTTGCTCTTGATGGACGCTTAAGATTGCAGATGCCTTCGCAGGTACCTCGACAGTTCTGGTTCCTAGGCTTGTTCTCTCCGAAACTGTCTTGGAATCCCGCTGCAAGTCCGCTGCAGCAAGCTTTCCTCTGAAGCAACAGAGTAACATCCTAAAATACTATCGCGCCGGTGCTGGTGGGCATGTATAATGTTTTTACTAAATACGTTGTAAAGGGCGCAACCTTGTTGACAGGTTCAAAATGCGCAAAGTCAACTATTAAGAACAACAAGAGCCAGCTAAGGCCTCAGACGATGCCCAAACCGTTCATGTAGCTAACCAACCCGGAATGGGTTATAGTTCGACTTGCGTCCTCGAGCAGCATGAGTGCAAAGTCCAAAAGTAAAATTTACGCCTACACGCATTGGCTTCAAGCCTAACGTAGTTCGATGCACAAAAAAGCGGAGGTGGGAGGCTAGGATGGAAAGTGTACGGCGACAAGTCAGGACTTTTCAGGTACGCACACAATCAGTATATGAAACGCAGCTTAGAATCGTGTGCTTTTAATCTCGAATCGATCGAAATCCGGTTGTCTTGCGGCCAAGAAGCTAAATCAGTAGAAGTACTGAATTGAGCCAATTTAGGGATAGATGCATGGTCTGCCGCTCGCCGTACGCATTGACAAGCAGCTCAGCTGCTGGATTTTGAGGTGGTGCTTAGGGAGCTGCCGATCAAATACTACGAAAACATATTCGTATATATACTGAAACGTTACAGTAAGGGAATTCGTACGTATCCGAGACTCAAGGTTAAATATGTCATGCGCCACTTAAGCAAAAGCATAAGCTATTAACGCACGCAAAATCTATTAGTTTTAGCATCTGTAGACAGTGCGCATTTAACTGCCAAGAAGGTGTACTGTACACCAAAGGGCGCCAGCGCGGCGACTGTCTGCGATAGACTTTTTACCGAGGCCCGTAATGAGGAAAGCAATCATTGCGCTGTTAACAGTATGCATTTTGTTATCCGCACAAAGCGGTACGTCGGCAGTGGGTGCGGTTTTCCAAATGGCTTAATAGTTTCTAATTTACGATATGTCCTCCATGAACTGGAAAGCGTCTCTAACTTACGATGGATTGGCGGCCCCGCGCCTTCCCCACCTCCTCCTGTTCGCGTAAACATTGTTGCGAAGATCTCTCGCTCCTTCCCTTGTGCCCTCCTTTAACCTACGTGCTACATGCTACTATTTGCAGGTGGAGCCGATGGGCAGGGACCTGGCCGTGACGGATCAGGTGAGATTTGAACTACTCCCCGCCGGCTTCAGAGACCCTTCCACAGTCACGCTGACCAGGCAACTATCAGAAGCAGCGCCCAGAGGAGGGCTTCCGCTGATGCCCTGTTGGCTGCAGACTGCTACGTGGCTCTTTCCAACTCCCCTGCCACAGTCCTGCATTCCTTTGTAGCCCCCGACCGAGCTTTCCTCGCAGTCGTGCTCTCCCTTACTCGATTGGCGCGTTTCAACCGCCAACCCAAACAGGCTTACCCTTACAAGCTTGCATTTTAGAGATTTGCATTACACAAACGCACACATAGACGTTCTCGTCCAAGACACACCGGTACACCTCCGACAGCACATGCGTCCACTGCCACACCGCCGTCTCGTCATCCTACGCTCCCCGCCCGGCGCCACGAAGAAACACCGTGCCCGCTATGTCCACCCCAATCCCAATCCTGGGCAACCCGTCTATCCCTGATATCTGCTCCATTCGCCAGTGGTTCGTCTTATCGGGCCCCCAATCCCCACGAACTCCCCGGTTACGCAGGCGGCGGGCTGGGCGAAGGGGCCCAGGGCAGCGGCAACAACAGCACTGGCAATACTCGCCCGATTAGCTCGCCGGCGGGTTCGGGGGGGCCGGCACCTGGGGCCAGCAGCAGCAGCAGTAGCGGCGGCGGCGGCGGCGGCGACAGCCGCGGCAACGAGAACGGCACCGGCAACAGGACTCGAGCCCGGGGAGATGACCCTCGACCCCGCAGCTGGGGCGCAGCGAATGTACGCAACGAGACGGAGTTTGACGACCGGAAGAGCCCTCGCAAGGTGTGGGGCTGGGGGCCGTGTGGGGGACTGCGGGGGAGACGGGTTTTCTACCGGGGGGAGAATCACCCTGAGGTGCACGGAGAGGAAGCAAAGAGACAATTGCCACATATGTTCGAAGCCGCCACTTGCCGCAGGAGTCGAAAGCGATTGGGGGGTGGGAGGGTTGGGGTATCGCACGGTGTGTCCTCGTGGGTACTGGGCGTCATGCTGGCGACGCGCGAGTTGTAGTTGAGCGGCTGGAGGATCCCGGGGTGGGTGCTGGGCGGACGCTCATCGACACGCGGGCATCGGCTAGCAGCAGAGCTTGGCTTCCAACCTTTTGGAAGGCACTTGGATGGATGACTATGTGGTGGCCGGTTTGAGAGAGCGGCTTGGGAGGGCGCACGAAACACACACGCACACGTACACAATTTTCTAGCACTTCTTTCGCTGCCACCCACCCCACCTGCGCACCGCCGCCTACACGTCACTGTCTTGCCACTTCCCCGGCCCTAAGTCATTCAGAACTACGAAGCACAATGCACAGGGGGGGAGCTTCTCACTCTCAGCCCGCAACCTGCTTCCCCTCCTGCCTCCACCCCCGGGGCTCTCCTCCCCCCTCCCCTCCCCCCCACGCCCCCCAGGTTGCCTTCCTAGGTAAATCCGCCAACGTCAGAGTCTACCCCAACTACTCGGACACCAGCGCGTTCCTACAGCTCCGTTTTGGCAAGATCTTGGAGCTGGACGGTTCCGGACAGCCCGTACCGAACCACCAGATCGCCTCCTTGGCGGACGCCAGCGATGCCGTCACCTTCGCCGCCGGCAACCGTACAATCGGCAACGTCAACGTCAGCTTCGTCAATGTGACGTTGCGGCCGCTTGCGCGCCAGGAGTTCAGGGCGGCATGCGGCGGCGGTGGGGGTGGAGGTGGCGGTGCGGGTGGGGATAATCGGCCGTCGGCGCCGCCGGCACCGCCTGCGGACATGGAGCCCCGCGTTGCCGTGGAGCTGCTCTTTGGCCTGGACGACGTGTTGACAGTGCCGTACGGCGGTACGAACTTGACGGTTCCGCGCAACGGCCTTAAGTGGACGATCTCGTACTCCAACTGGTGAGGCAGCCACAGGGGAAGAGAAGGGCGAAAGCAGAGGAGGACGGAGGGGGAGGGTAAGAGTTACGGAAAAGAGTGAAAGATGGGTGCGTACGGCACGAAATACACACAGCACGCAGGACGGGCGGGCACGCACACGCGCCAAGAAGGGCTTCGTCGGTCATTGGCGAGGCTACCCCGGCTGGGGCAAGTGACCAACCGCCCTCCCTATGCCTTCAAGAACGCCTACTGGTCAGTTCTGCTCCTTGGCAGCAGCTTCACTCGTCCGTGTTCTTCGTCTTACCCCTCCTACGCCCCCCTTGCCCCGCCCCGGGCCCCCCAACGCCCCGCCCCCCACCACTCTGTCAGGCCTTTCTGCAACGTAACCAACACGCTGTCCGTCTCCCTGGACCTGCTGCTGCCCGCTAACGCCACCTCGGAAGTGTCCACCACAGGTAACGCTGTCTGTTTTGTAGAATGAAGTTGGTGTGCGAGTTAAGGACGCCATCGCCCGTTCAGTCCATTACCCTATCAGCTGTTGGCCCCCCTGAGCCAGCCGCGACCACCGCCGGACCCCCTCGACATTCGGTGGATCCTTAACCCCTCCGTGCGACAGTCGACCCCCCTCCCGACAACCCCCTCCTCACCACACGCCCAGCAGTTCAGCTCCAGCCCTCCTCAGACAAGGGATCACCACCGCCATCACCACCGCCATCACCACCGCCATCGCCATCGCGCCGCACCGGGATACCATTCTCGTGCATTCCTTCCTAACTTGCATCTTCAAGCCCGTGAGGGCTCCCCGCTCTGGCGCTCACCTTGCCTTTCTCCACGCCACCATCGCCACCACCGCGCAGTGCCGCCGCGCCATTTTCCTCGCCTCAAGGCGGTGTTCGCCTTCGGTCCTCCGGCCCCGCAATCCCCTTCTTTTGCTTCTGCCCCCTGCCTTTAAGTCTCCTCGCATATAATTTCCGCCTCCCTCCCCCCACCCCCGCCCTTAGGGGGTATCACCAATCTCGTCCTGAGACTGGGCCACGACTACAACGCCTCACTTTCCTTCCTGGACTACGCTCTGGATGGCCCCAACGGCGCCACGAAGCTGCCGGCCAATGTAACGGTCTCCCAGCTACTGCCCAATCTTAACAGGTCAGACACGGCCGAAGGTGATGGGGGCAGCGGCGGCGGCGGCGGCGGCAACGTCGTGACGGTGCGCACGGTACTGCCGAATCCCAAGGCTTCCGGCGGCGGTGCCGCCGCCGCCGTGTGGTACGACCCCACCTCCGCCACCACGTCGGTGTACCTGGACTCGACGGATCCGGGTAATGGCTTCGTCGCCGTCGGGACGAGTGGCGGCAGTGGTACGACGGGAGGCGGCGGCGGCGGCGCAGCGGCAGGGTTGCGTGTGACGGTGTGGGCGGCGCTGGCGGCTGTCTTACTGAGCGCGTTTCTGATGCACTGAATGTGCACAGATGTGCTTGGGGGTAGCTGGGGGCTGAGGAGGTGGGGGTGGAGGTGGAGGAGCGGAATGAGGGAAGTGGCAGGATGGCATGATAAAGCACAGGATGATGCTTGATGTGGTTATAGCTATTATGGCGATGGCGATGAAGTGGTATGGTGCTAGGCAAGACCCCCAAGATGGTGATGCAGCTCAGCGGCACACACACAGGACCCCCTTCCCTCGGGAAGAGTGGCAGGCAGGAGAGGCACATTGGTGATGTGTTCTTGATGTGTATAGATTTGTTTAGATGCGTTCAGATGAAGTTTGCTGCGTGGAGGCGTAGGGTTCGTAATAAAGATGTCTTGTCACGCGGGCAACGTTACCAAAGAAAGTGGTCCTGCGTGTATGTATGTATGTATGTGCATATGTATATATGTGTAGCCAACGGCCCGGCAGCCATTCACTGCGGTGTATGTCTACGTGCCGGATGCAGCAGGGGATGCGGGGTGTGTGTGTGTGGGGGGGGGAGAGGTGTGGGGTCCATAGTAATAAAGTGAGCAGGCGGGCAGGTAATTGTGTGTGAGCCCCCTCCTGCGCTCTACTACTGCTGCCCCTTCCGAACACTGATCAAATGATGACCCGGAACGAATCAAGAACGCCCAAGCAATCAAACTTATGGATGAACAAAGCTAAATAAAGCAGCTGGAGCAGCGGTTTTATGGATGGCGCCTCGTTCCGGATAGTTCTGTGAAGATGAGTCGGTGATGGTGACTTAATGGTGGTGACTAGATGAAATATAGTGGCGCTGCTGCTGCGGCTGCTGCTGCTACTGCTGATTGTGGTAGTGGTAGCGGTGGTGGTGTCTAGTAGTGGGACTAACGTGGTAATTCTTTTCGTAGGTTGCCCTCAGGCCGAAGACCCCTGGCCCGGGCGGGGCGGGGCAGGGCGGGGCGGCCTATTCGATGTTGTGTGGGAGCTAAGAGGCCGGCGGCGCCGATGTGATTGCGGCAGGGGCATATACATACACACATACATATACACATATAAATATATGTATGTTGACGAGCAGGCTGAGGAATGCAGGACCTGGAATGCAGGACCTCGCCCGCCACATGTCGATTCACTGCACCTCGCACCTGTAGACAAAGCCCTCATTTCACTCGCATACGCGTACGACTTCATTCATGTTTTGTTTGACCTGCTGCTACTGTTACTGCTGCGGGTGCCTTTGGTTGGCGACGGTCGGTAACAGCATTTGAGCATTTTTGTTATTATTATTATTCAGTCCACAGTGTGGTAACTTGGACAAGGTAGACAGATTGGCGGCGCACAATAGCGACACACAGAGACGGATGTCCCTGATGATGGCGATGTGTTTGGTGCCCTGCCGCGAGCGGGGCCCACCGGGAAGGGAGGATTGTGTCGTACTGACCATATTTCCTGTATATCCGTATATCCGCATTGTTCCCATACCGCCATGTAGCGAACGCCAGCAACGCCTCCCTGCCTCCCACACCTTCCACACCACCTGGCCACTCCTAACCCCAAGCGACATGTTACGGACACGCAAAAAAACGCAGAAAGTTCGTAAATGTCGCTGAAGGTGGCGGGCTTTTGCACGTGTGCGCGTGTGCGAAGGAAGGATAGGCTTTCGGGCCTCCCCCATCCCACGCACAGATACATGGCCAGTGCAGTTGATGAACCGCAAACCCCCCCAGCCCACAGCGGACGTCTGTTGCACTACAACAGTCGCAATCAATTTATAAGTGACATACGCCGATCTTAGTGGGGATCGAACCCACAACAGCCCGCAAGGCCCGGATCAAAAAATTTCTCAAATTCGCCGCCACGAGATCCATAGGAACGGCTTGAAATTCGTCGTACCCATACCCAAGTTCCCTTTCACCCCCTGTGCCTGCTCTTCATCGACGACCAGCCCAAGGGGAAAGGGCAATAAAAGAGGGAAAAGAGGCGCAACAGCAGTAGCAGCAGCGCTACACGCAACAGGCAGCAGCATGTTCGGCTGCGAGGGCCAAAGCGTCGCTCGCGGGTTCTTAGCATGAGCGGACCGCATGCATGCTGTGGCAAATAAGATGAACGCGCCCAGAACCGTATCCGCTTCTCTTCTCGCCAGTAGGCGGGTTGGACAGCCACCTACTGCATGCCTGCCCACCGCCAGGGGATGAATGCTGCCTGGGCCATCAGCACTTAAAGAAGAGAGCTTTTTCACTACCTTTGAAAGTACACGGGGCTATACCCTCATCTCGTCTACGGGCTGTGTCCGTCTTTTAAGCAATTTGCCTAAAGTAATATGGTGATCAATAACTATAACTTAAGGGGGTGTAGCACGAAGGGTTGTACCTGCGCCCAGCAACTGGCGCTGAGGCTTCGGAAGGTAAGCGGCCCCTGGGTCGACCGGCTTCTATACTCACCTGTTTGCTGCTGCGATTTCTCGTGCTCTACAGGGTATGACTTTTATGTATCATTATAAACTCAAGGGACCAGGGTATAACGCGAGTCAAGGTTTACGGAACAATTTCACCGTGTTGTACCGTTGCGTGCTGAGATTCGCTTCGTTTTGACTGGCGTCGCAGCCCTGTCAGTCAAGGGCAAATATGCCGTACCTTGGGAAATCGGAATAAGAGGTAGCTTCTCAGCATGGTAGTTTTTACGCGTATGCTACTTCAGTAGTTACAGCTGTCCATGTATGGCACCTGCGATTTGCCGTTACGCCAGGATAGTTTGCAATCTCCACAGTCTGCCCAAGATGTTTCGCTGATACAGGCTTGACTTGGGCAAATCCTAGCAGTCGGTGTGTCGACATCGGGAGAAACCGAGAGAATTGAGCACCAGCACCTGTTTATCCCCCGATCTGAATAATCCGCTTTAAGGCCATATATAACAATTATTCGTTATCAGGGATGTCGATGGCGTTGGTTTCTAACGTTGGAGTCATAATAAGTACCGTAATCTTCTTGCTCGGATTCACAAGCACACGAGCGCATCATATCGAGATCAACATCACAGTGCCCACGTTTGAGGTTGAAACAGAGGATGCTTACGTATGCGTCTCCGCGCTCCTGCCTCCGCACCCTCATAAGCTCATTGGCGTGATACCCCACGCACAGCAAGAGGTGGTGCACCACATCCTGCTGTATGGTGAGTCGTTTGATTCAAACGCACGTATCGCACAGCCACTGCAGATGGGAACGCAACCCAAGCGCATGCACTCACGGGCGGGTTCGACCTCGCCTCTTCAAGGCCTTTCATACCCGTATGCGAGCCGCAGGCACACAGATAGCGGCCGCGCATAGTGCAAAGCCAACTCTATCGCACTACCGAAACCAACTCGGGCTGACGACGTGGCCAGCAGTCAACCATTTTCCCCCCTAGCTTCGTCCACCAATGTAATGATCCCTTCTTCCCCGTCTCTGGTTTCCCCAGCAACGCATATGCCACTCTTGCGGGAATGCTTCCTGTGCTATTTTACCTGCCACGTTAAGGGAAGGTCTCCTTTCATCACCTTGTCCTCTCTTGTGTCGGTGCGGTCGGGTTACCCCACCCGCCTTATCTCGTTGCCTGGCGCACCCAGGACAGCGCTGCTGGACATGTTCCATGCTGCCGCCGTCATCACTACCGTCACCACCATCACCATCCCCGCATGCAAAAGACCCATTCAAAACGCTTAAAAGACGTCTAGATGTTAATTCCCACATGCGGTGATGACACTATCACTATCGTCACCACCACCACCACCACCACCACCACTATCGCCACCACGATGACGACGACGACGACTACCACCACCGCAGGGTGTTCTGAGCCTCACCTGGTTCCTAAGACGGCTGGGCAGATGGAGGCGTGGCGATGCGACATGAAGCCCGTCTGTAACGGCCCCTCCACCATCTTGTGAGTCCTCTTGCGTGAATTATTGGAGTAGAGAGCAACACAGCAGCAGCAGTAGCAGTAGCAGCATCTATGGCAGCTGTGGCCGCAGCGGCACAGGCAGCAGCAGCAGCACAAGATATAAGACCTTGTTGTGGTTTGGGTGCTGGCTGCGGTGTGCCGGGGTTACCTCGGTTTACTTCCTGCCTGCCCCCCCCCCAAGGTCACCCCAGCGCACGTCCCACGCCAGGGAGTCATCTACTCCTCCACCCTATTCGCATATCTAAAGAGCTGTGATTTTGTTGTGGTGTTTTCGGCGCAGGGAGGTCGCCGGTGCTGTGGTAGTGGGGTGGGGGTGGGGGGATTGATGGCGGCGGTTGTCGGTCTTCCGGAAGGTCGGGTGTGGCTGAGTGAAAAAGCACTTGCTGGCTGTGTGTGGCTTTCCCGCGAGAAAAAGCTATTGCTCCTGCTCTCGCTGTAGCGGCTACTGCTGCTGCAATACTGTTGAACTGCTATATTGCGGCCTTCACTGCCATTGCTACTTCCCTTCCCCACCCCTTCTTCTAACTCGGCTTTATTTCCAGAACCATGTGGTGACTTCATCGCTTAGGAGTTGGGACTCCATAGCAGTTTCGAACTTTGGACGCGTTCCGGCAGTTTGTATTCCTTGTTGTTTTCTTGCATGTAACCCCCGCTCTTCACCGCTATCGCTACCGCTACCGGCACCTCCCCGCAGCTATGGGTGGGGCCGTAACGCCCCCGACCTGCGCCTCCCCGAGGGGGTGGGCTACAGCGTGGGTGAGAACACGGGAATCAAGTACATCGTAGCGCAGGTGCGTGGGGGGGGGAGTTGCTGAGGGGGTGGCGTGGGGGGGCCGCGGTTGGGGTTTGCGGTCTAGGGGGGCTCCATGACCCCATCACACGGGGAGAGGGGAGGGGAGGGATATTACTAGGTAGGGGGGGGCCGGTCCTAGGGGTGTAGATGTGTGTGTAGGGGTGTATGTGTGTCGGTGTTGGTGTTGGTGTTAGTGGGTGGGGTAAGGAAGGGCGAAGTGTGTGGGGAGGGACGCGAAGATGTTATACCCCTGGGGAGGAGCGCCCGGAGAGAGAATATCCGTCTGTATGTCTGTTGCAAAGGTTCGTTTAGATTTTATGATGTGTGGGACAGGGGGTCATATCTTCTTCCTGCGGCCGCTACCCGGCAGACCCTGCCTGCCCCGGTATTTCGGGGCACCCTCATCCAGTCACCCTAGTCAACTTCTCAGTGGATCGCTCAGGTTCAGCACCCACCACCGGCATCCAACGGAATCTGCCGGATTAACGGCGGCTCAACTCCATTCCTGGTCAGGTCGTATTGTATGTATGATGATATGTGGGGCGTGGGTCATATTTCCACCCATGGGCGCTACCCGGCGAATTCCTGCCTTGACAGGTCTCGATCCCGGTACCTTCGGGGGCGTGTGCGTTACCATGGTGCCTAACCATGTAAAAATTGACACGACCCAGGTTCGAACTGGGGACCTCCTGTGTGTGAGACAGATGTGATAACCAACTACACCATCGTGTCAATGTGTGTATATGTTGTATTTGTGGGAGATATTTGCGCATTTCCCCCCTCGCTTACCAGGTGCATTACCTTGCCGTACGACCTCCGGACGACCACTCGGGTGTTACACTGGTGCTCAAGCCCCACGCAGTGCCGTACGCCGCGGGCATGTTGTCGTACGCGTCGTATTTTCAGATCCCTCCCGGTCAGCCCAGTCACCTTGTGGAGAACAGCTGCTGCTTCAAGGCCCACCAACCGCTAACCATGTTTGCCGTACGGGTACATACACACGTGCTGGGCCGGCAGGTCTACTTGACCCGGGAGGCCTGGAATCACAGTGGTGCGTGGCGGGGGGGGGGGTTGAGGTTTTCCCTGCGTGCGGGGTGTGTGTGTGTGTGTGTGTGTGTGGAGGGGGATGGAGATGGGCGGGAATGAAATGATGAGAAGGACCGGCGGATTCAAAATCCAAATGCAACGATCTCCGAGGTGTGGTGTTGAAGAGGGCTTTAACGGGGTTAAGAGGGCAGCGATAGTTCACCCTCCGAGGTGTGGTGCTGTGCTGTGCTGTGCTTGAAAAAGAGTGTTTGAATGAGGGATGCTCAGGGAAGAAGTGGAAGAGGGAAGGGGTGGGGGTAGGAGAGGTGTATGTGGGTTGGGTGGGGAGGGCGCCGGACTGGTTGGATTCCTGTTAGGGCCGCCCTCTTTTGCGCTCCCGCCGAAAATGCACTCTCCAACTCACAGACCTCCCCCTCCCAACACCGTCACACCCCACTGCCCCTGTTGCCGTACGGTAGGTACGGAGCTGCTGTACACTCGTGATCCCCAACTACCGCAGTCATTCGTGCCCAGCACCCGCCACGTGTTTTGGCCCGGAGACCGCCTCACCGTCACGTGTGACTTCGACTCGACCAATAGGTACGGTGTGTGTTTTTAGGGAGGTGGAGGGGGGGCCAGGTGGGGTGAGGGGGCGGTGCCGTACCTTTCCTGCTTTTCAAAATTAGCATCATTAGTCGCATAATCAACGTAATTTGGTAGAGAAACATATGAAGTACAAGGTAACAGTTCCAGGATAAGGGAAAGGACTCATGCCGAGCATGCCATTTTCGAACTGTACGTAAGTCTCTCGACTTGTACAGCTTCCATTAAACAACCACAAATCCTGCGCGCGTATGTATGGTGCGTGTGCATAGGTTTCATAGTCTTCTTGTTGTTGCCCAACCCCCCAACCCCCCAACCCCGCAACACCAATATCCCCAACATCCCCAACCCAGGAGCACTGTGACGGTGGCAGGTTCTACGCACAAGGACGAAATGTGCAACATGTACATCATGGTGTACGGCAAGACGCCGTACCTTTCCATGTGCTCGGATTCAACAGCGGTAAGTGCGAAGGAGCACGTTTGAGCAGAGGCCGCGGCGGCGGGTGATGGTGGCGGGTGATGGTGGCGAAAGCCAAAAAGACAAGGGAGAGACAGGACGTGGGTGAGGCAGGGGCAGGTGGAGGGTATTGTGGGGGCAGTGTTAGGGTCTTAGGGGATTGATTGTTGGCCCCTAAGGCGGGAGAGGGGTAGTTTCGGTCTTCCTTTGCGCGAATGTTTTGACCTTCTCCACGTATGCGGAGTGGTGTGGTGGGTTGCCGTAGCCGATTATCATCGTCCCCTCGAGATCCTCCATGTAGACCTTGTTGCCGGCATCACCGGTTTCTCACAGCCTTACACCCCCCTCCACCCCACCCCTTGCCC